GACTTGTAGTCCAAGAACATCTGGGGACCCAAGGTTGGGAACCATTTCTCTAAATGGATTTGTGTGTTCATGTTCCTAGATTTGGAATCCCAGATATTGTTGGACTAAATTACCCAGAATCTCTGACCTTTGGCCATTCTGTTTAAAGATTCTGGGAACTGTAGTTCAACAATACATGGCGACCTGAGTTTGGGCTTCAGTTTGCTCAGAACATCTCTGTTCTTGACCAGGTTGGCATGGTAGGTGGGAGGAATGGAACTTCTCATTTCAGGGTGGACTTCTAGACAATTCAGAACTTATATTGGTCCTATTCTGATATTGAGTCTGGAATATAGTAATGAACTTTGCAAAAATAATATTACCTTCTTCTTACAACCATTCATGCAATAGTAGTAGTCTTGGATTCCAGAACCCCCAGCCAACATAGGCACCAGTAGATTCTGGGATTTGCAGACCAAAAAAAACCTAGAGATTTCCCCGATTGATGTCTGAACACTGTCTGTTAACATAACAGCTCCACTCGTCTTACTTGTGTCAGCACAGTAGCTCCACAATTGGTCTTTGTCATAGTTCTCAGTTGTAGCACACCAGAATCTTCCATCCTTTGAGGTCTCATTAGTGCAGGTGTAGAAGGTCTGGTTTTTGTAGATAAAGGGGAAAACACAAGGCTGGCCTCCAGAGCTTCCTTCATACTCTGCAGATGTGTGGAGCACAATAATACAGGGAGATTGGACCCAAGTCATAGCTTTTTTGAAGAAGACAACAGACCATAATAGCACAAAAAGGCTTTTTTCTCATTCCATAAAAGACAAGCCAGAAAACCAACTTTTGCAACAGAAGTCTACAGGGTCTCCTCAAAGAGCATGGGGGAAAATATCCTAAACTGTCTGGGTGTCTGACTGACAGTTCTCTATTTTCAAAAAAGGAAGAGGATATACCAGCTCACAAAGTTTCTGGGAGATACAAAACCTTCTTCTCTAAACCCCACTGCTTTCTCAAGAGTGAATCCACTGCGTTCCCCCATCCTATACTTTCCCAATTGTGAAGGCCAATGGCATGTGGAGGAATCGCTGTTGTTATCTCCAGTCTCTGGATGGAGATAACAGCAGGTAAATTCACCCACTTAATGCAGTGCTTCTCACTCCCAGGTGATGGCTGCAGGAATGCTCCCATAACCAGTGCCTTCATCTAGAAGTGCCTTCATTCACCCCATGTGCCAACAACAGGATTCTCCTTTTACCACTCACTGCTACATAGGTTGAAATCCTGTTGCACAGTTATGCACATGTGACACAAAGCTGTGGGAGCAACAGAAAAGCTGCAGCAAAATGGAAGCAATATCTGCCAAGCACCTCTGCAGTCGTGTTGCATGTTCAACCATGAACCATGTGAACCACTGCACAATTGTGAACCACACAGTTGATGACACAACTAGATGCCTGGGAGTAACATCCAGCATACTTCTTCAGGCATATCTTTATGCCAACTTGAACAGAATTTCAGCGCTATTTTCGGTTTCCCCATTTTCACTAATAAGGTGGAGACACATGTGGTATCCATCCATCCTTGACTGGATCATTGATTTTAGAGAGATGTCCAGGCAGGAAACAGTCACATTAACCACCTGTACGATTCTTAAGACTTTGCAAGTATGAAGCAAATCAGTAGTGGCTAAGAGTTTACAGGACGAATAGGGCAAGACTGTCAAGTGTTTGCTCTGGTAAATACCAGATTGCCTACCTTGGAGGGCGCAGGCTTTCCATTTAGTATCTTTGTCATAGTTAGCAGTTGTGGCACACCATAGTTGGCCATCAGTGGATCCCTCTTTCGTGCATCCAGAGTAGGAGATCCCTCCCCAAACGAAAGGGAAACGACAAGGAAGGGATTCTGAGTAAGACAGAAAAGGTTGGGGAGAAATTAGGAAGATGGCACATTAAATATGGATACACAGAAATGCATATCCTCATACTTAGCTAAAAGATCCCAAAGCAGCATACAGCAAAGTTACAAAACTATTTTTTTTATTTATTATTTCCTAAGATGCCTTTTTGTGGCAAAGGGGCTTGAGTAATCCAGAGAAGCTATGGGCTATGCCGTGCAGGGACACCCAAGACGGACAGGACATAGTGGAGAGTTCTGACTAAATGTGATCCACCTGCAGCAGGAACTGGCAAGCCACTCCCGTATCTTTGCCAAGAAAACTCCATGGACAGAAACAAAAGGCTAAAAGATAGGATGCTGGAAGATGAGCCCCTCAAGTCGGAAGGCATCCAATATGCTACTGAGGAAGAACAGAGGAAAAGTGCAAGTAGCTTCAGAGCTAATGAAGTGATTGGGACAAAGCCGAAAGGATGCTCAGCTGCAGACATGCCTGGAAGTGAAAAGAAAGTCTGATGCTGCAAAGAAAAATACTGCATAGGAACCTGGAATGTAAGATCTATGAACCTTGGGAAGCTGGATGTGGTCAAACAGGAGATGGCAAGAATAAACATTGACATCCTGGGCATCAGTGAACTAAAATGGACAAGAATGGGTGAATTCAATTCAGATGACTCTCATATCTACTATTGTGAGCAACAATCCCATAAAAGAAATGGAGTAGCCCTTATAGTCAACAAAAGAGTAGGAAAAACTGTACTGGGATACAATCTCAAAAATGCTAGAATGATTTCAATATGAATCCAAGGCAGACCTTTCAACATCACAGTCATCCAAGTTTATGCACCAACCACCAATGCTGAAGAGCCTGAAATCGAACAATTCTATGAACACTTACAGCACTTTCTAGAACTGACCCCAAAGAAAAAAATTCTTCTCATTATAGGGCACTGGAAAGCTAAAGTAGGGAGTCAAGAGATAAAAAGAACAACAGATAAGTTTGGCCTTGGAGTTCAAAATGAAGTGAGTCAAAGGATAATAGAGTTTTGTCAACAGAACAAACTGGTCATCACAAACACTCTTTTCCAACAACACAAGAGGCGACTCTACACATGGACATCACCAGATGGGCAATACCGAAATCAGATTGATTATGTTCTCTGCAGCCAAAGATGGA